ATGTGTTGTGTTGGTAACCGTATATCGTATGACTAGCATTTCAGGGGTGAGTTAAATTTTTTTATGTAAGCCGAAGATCAGCGGGGGTGCTGTTGAACAGCTTGTGAAAATGCGGTAGCACATTGTACTCCATTCTAAAGAACGTGCCTCCAGCGTACCATATACGATCACACTGCTAGGTTATAATGGCTGAAAGCGATCTTTCTCAAGTCTACAAATTAAGTTTATGAGAGTTCTCTTACATGTCGCCACTGAACGCGAAACAGTTGCATGCAGGACCGTTGCGGCGTCATCTACTTAGGCTCAATAACACTTGGACTCGCTTCTCTGTGCTCAACCGTCAATACCATCTTCTCATACTGCGTTTGAACATAGCTGTGCAGCCGCTGCTTTGGCGCGACAGTAAGCTGTAAATTCACAAATTTAGCCAGTTTACTTGATTACAGCATTCGCGGGGAAACTCGTGGAGTAACTGAACAGGCACCGCACCTGTGTACTCCAAAAAAGCGGGGGAAGCTTGTGTCTGAGTGCTACTTTTTACTTAATGTATCCACATCCAACTGGTAAATGAGCTGTGCGTACTTCATCTGTGTGTACTGCACCGTTGAGATCTTCGGCGAATAGTGATGACGGAACTATCGAAGCGCTTGTAATAAAAAGAAAAAAACCTTCATCTCAGCCCTGGTGAGTGTGCCATCGTTCGTAATTGTATCAGCGCGTTCCTAACTTGGAATTACTGTTAGTCCCGGCTTGTAAGTGATGGCGTTAATACCATAGTCGTTGCTGTTCTCGGTCCACGAATTATGTTGTGCGAGTAAAGTTGTATTTACACGAAATCTCCGAAAGAACGATGGATAATCGGCCTACGAGGGACACAGGCTGGGAAATCGTAGGCTGTATTTGATCATTGACCTTCTGACCTTCAGGGCGAAATTCCGACTGAGATTTACTGCGCCGCCGAGTTAAAGTTCTCCATCGTAATTTTCCGGGTTGTCTACGAATACCGAGCGCGCAGGTATAGGTTTTCAGTCACTAGGGCACACGCTCCATGTGCGCCTGCTTTAGTGGATCTTCACGGCAGCCACACCTGAGTAGGCTTGCTGCACTGACGGCCTTTCTGTGTTCTGACAAAAATGGTTCTTCGTTCTCTCTGGCCCACCCCTTTGACTTTCCTGAGGTCTCCCCTTAACGACTCTACACTCCTGATTTTAAAGGTGAAGGCGCAGGGGGGTGGGAATAGAGTCTTGAACTAAGGTCGAAGAGTAATAATACGAGCTGGACCAGCCGTTTTTTAACCCGCTCTTGACTGCAAGAGCGGTAAAATATCGGCATTAGCTTTAAAAGTGTTCGAGTGTCGCGCACGCTCTAGACCCTAACCGTTGGTCGAATAATGTTTAAGACCATGTCTGGATGTTCTGTCGATATGGAAC